TATGCTTACCTTACCTTACCTTACCTTACCTTAACTTAACAAAATTCAACACACAAAGAAAGAAGATGAGCTGCCTATATTTCTATCTGGCTAAATATTTTTCTAAATACCCAGATATTAATACTATAATATTCTCAAAGTTAGTTGAAGCACAAAACATATGACCAAAATTATTACAGGATCATCCCTTTTACAGAAAAAGAACATGATAGAAATCAGCACAATGAGGATACATCTAACACAGTACTTACACATAACCCATTAACTGCAATTGTAAAAATTAGTTAGTGGCAACAGGTTTGTTGGCACACACTGGCCATTTCCCTCACTTGCACCAAGCTTGTTTGGCACTTCAAGTATAACATCTATAATAGCTTGATGCTGTATTCTATAAATTAAACTTTGAAAAGATTGAAGGTTTCCCTTCATTTAAATGTCTGTGTCTAACAGTGACACCAAAGAATGATATTACTACTATCAGAGAAAGATGAACACCCTCTGATGTGTCAATAGCTGGGGATACATCATTACGCAGTGGCATACGGGCCTTCTGCAATCCAATGGTTAAGAAACAAGAACAAGCCTCACCTGTAGAACACATTCTGCACAGACAGCATGGAGACAATGGTCAGGATTTCATCAGAACACTGCAGGTGAACCGACATGATGAGCATCTTGGAGAGGTTTGGGTCAAGAGGGAAGTCGGCCATCCTGCGCCCCAGCCTCGTCAGCAAACCCTCATCATCCAGGGCACTGAAGGGAGAACACAGGTGGGTATTTCTTAAGGCTAATTTTCTCAACATTTTCATATTATAGTTTTAAAGAATTCTCTAAGGCAGAAACACAATGTCAGGTATTCAGATTAACCCAGTCTCCAGGTGACTTGACTGTCACATCACGGAAAAATTTGAACAGTGTTCATTGCAGCAAATGCAGATAAGGTATGAATGAGAATGAACATCTTCACAGAGCAAAAGATGTATCTGACCAGTTTCAATTACATCATCACATACATCATTATATTACAAAGTATAGGTATTTCAGACGAGCTAGAGAATCACCTGATGTCCATGACCTGTCACACTATTCACATAATTGTGGCTGCAATCTTGGATATTTGAAGCTGTCCTATGCGATGCAAAGTATGCAGCTTCCATTACCTTTCTTTCTCGTTTATTCAATACTCTATGAGTCACTTCTGCCTGCATTCAGCTTGGTAGATGCTCAGCCTCATCAACATGTACCAAGTTCTGGGGTGCCAGACATCAGCAAAATGTTCACTGCTGCAGGGAATGCAATATACATCTCGTATATCATTTCTCTTTTCACCAGATGTGCCAACAATCTGATTCCTAGTGATCACCTTGGAAATGTTACATGTTAATAATATGAGGAATTCTGAAGCAGATTTTGGCCTACTCATTCTGTTCTCCGCTATCCTCCTGAAAGCTTCTGCGATATTTCTGTTTCATGAATGAATTATTTACATAAACCACTTCAGACTCACAAAATTCAGGACTGCAAATCCTCAGTGCTCTCAAGAAAAAATGGATGTATTAATCTTTATTTGGAGGCTTTCTGAAAACAGAGAAATGTAGGCTTTCATCGCCCCTGTGGGTCAGAGTGTCCAGGAAAGGTAGCTCTGGCCTTCTTCTTCCTCCACAGTAAACTGGATTTTCTTGTGGATAGTGCTGAGTTGCTTCATGGTTTACCATGAGCATGATCTGGGAACAATGAAGCCAAGTAGAACGCTTGACAGTTATACCTGAGCAAGAACACTATTTCCATGTTCAGCATCCTATTTCTGCCAACCTTGACCAGCATCACAGGGTGTGTTATAGAAGATATAATACAAAAATATTTTCAAAAAGGAACCAATAACTTATTGTTATTTTTATTACAAGGTGTTGTATACTACTTACAGAGTTAATATAGAGTCTGCTTAATGGAGAAAATAAAATGCTTTAGCATGTACATCATGCCATGTTCAGAATGGCTGCCTTGCTTAGAAACATCTCATACCATCACTATCTGATTCCAATTGTAGTTTAAACCCTTCTACCTTGTGGACTTTGAACCTGAACATGACCAGCCTGAAGGCACTGGCTTAAACAATACCTTATATAGCTAACTGTAAAATGGTATTATCATTTACTATGATTATTATCAAATCATACATTTGGCACATTACTCTCCTCTTTAAAAAATTGTTATATCTTACAAATTCTATCAGGCACAAGCCTCAGTAACATTCCTGGTTCTCTGGCTTTTCATTCTCATTTAAACCTTTCTTATACTTTTCATAATGAGGATATTGCAAGATCTTACACTATCACAGGTGAGCAGCCATTCATTGTGGTTTATATACTTATAAATGTTCTCCCATCCCTGCTTTTGGTAAGGAAAAATCACAAAGAAAAATTAAATAAATAACAAAGGCAATAACAGAAAAGATACAAACCCTTTTCTGAAGCAACCAAAACCCCTAACACTTTGATACATTGTTTCATGGTGAATCTTGGCCTCTACAAAACAAAATCATTGATGTTGGTACTGACATACAAAGTTTTGAAAAAAGAGGAAATTATTTTCCTTAATTTCACATAAAAAAATCAGTTGCATGAGGTTTTCCATCTTATTGCATCCACTTGCCTTTTGTCAACATGCAAACACACCATTCCCTCCACATACCTTAGTGAATGCAAGGTTCCTAGGGCCATGACCATAGCATCTGTGGGAGGCGGGTCCATGAAGTCGAAGCCCAAGAGATCATTAATCCCCATAGCTTTAAGCTGAAGCACAGTGTCTGCCAAATTTGTACGCTGAATGTCTGGCACACTTGTCGGCAACATCTCATCTCTACAAGTTGAAATCAAAATGGAAATTTATTCCAATTAGGTCAAATATTGTTACAAATTTGCAAAAAATTTTCAATCATATTTATTGAAGAATAAACTATATATATACACCTTTCACAGTTTAACATAAGAAATGCTATTGCCTCTTATCAGCATTATTTATTCTGCATATATTTATATACAAGATATTCAAATCTATACATAAAAAAAAAAATCATGTAAGTTTCTAATCCTCTGCCAAACTTCTTCCACCCACAGAGAATACCTTGACAGCTCCTCACTTGGCATATGATGACAAAACCTTACCTATATGCTCTCTCAGTGTAGAGTCTGTAGGTCTTGCCAGGGCCTGTGCGACCAGCACGTCCTGCCCTCTGCTTGGCTCCAGCCTGAGAGACAGGTGTCACCATCAGGGAGTCCATGCCTGTCTTGGGGTTGTACACATTCTGCTTCACAAATCCTAAATTGCCAAAAGAAGAGAGAGAAAATGAAAACAAATGTTTCTTAGTTTAACAAATAAACTGACATGAGAAAATACTAATAACAGCTAAAGTTAGTTATTATTAAAGAATAATGCATTCAAACACGCACCTGGATCAACAACATAGTAGACACCATCAATGGTGAGTGAAGTCTCAGCAATGTTGGTGGCAATGACTACTTTTCTGGAGCCAGGTGGAGCGGGCTCGAAGATCCTTGTCTGCATCTCGGATGGAAGGGCTGAGTACACAGGGAGGATGATCAGCTCGGGTACATCGCTACCCAGGGCTTTCATGCGTTCATACAGCAGCTCGCACGCAGTGTCAATCTCCTCTTGACCTGTAAGGAACACAAGGATGTCCCCTGGAGGCTCTGCCAGGTGGATCTGCATCACGGTGATCAGTGCTGCGTCCAGGTAGTCAGTCTCAGGCTCTCGGGTGTAAAGAATCTCAACAGGGAAGGTGCGGCCAGGGATGGTGAAGATTGGAGCCTGGTTGAAGTACTCAGAGAATTTCACTGCATCTAGGGTGGCTGATGTCACAATCAGCTTTAGCTCAGGCCTTTTGGCAACGGCCTGCTTCAGGAGACCAAACAACACGTCAGTGTGTATTGTCCTCTCGTGAGCTTCATCCAACATAATGCATGCATATGTGGACATATCCCGGTCTATAAGGCATTCTCTTCGTAACATACCCTCTGTCATGTACTTGATAACAGTCTCTGAACTAGTGCAATCTTCAAATCGGAAAGTGTAGCCAACCTCCTGGCCAAGGCGACAACCAAACTCCTCTGACACCCTTTTGGCCACGGACATTGCTGCCACTCTCCTTGGTTGCGTGCATCCAATCTTACCCTTGGCTGTGAAACCCACTTCTGCCAAATACTGAGTAATCTGGGTCGTCTTCCCTGAACCCGTTTCCCCAACAACAATCAGAATCTGGTTATCGTGAACAGCCTTGATCAGCTGGTCACGGAGCTTGTAGATGGGGAGGCTCTGTCGTTGTTCCAGAAGGGACATGTTTGTCTTTTTACCGTATGATCCTCTTGTACCACCTGCAAATCAGTCACACAAGAGCATAATATTCATTAATTCTAAAATCACTTCTTAGAAACTGGCAAACTGACCATCCACTTTGAAAATATTCAGATATTCAATCTGTTAATGAAACATTTTACTGAGCATCTCTTTTGGGGAACCTTAGTACGCCTTACCTGTGATGTGTCTCTTCCACTCTGGAACCTCCTGCTGCTGTGTGGGCATGCCGCGTGACATGGCTGGGTCTATCCGCTGGGTTTCGGGCAGAGGGTCGTTCCAGTTCTGGCCAAGGTTGGAAGGCTGCGAGTCCATCTCGCTCTCCCTCTGGGCCATCTTCACCTCACGCCGCTCTTTAGCCAGGGCACTCTGCATCATGGCAGCTTGTGCCAGGGACCCATCAGGGTTCTTCATGATCCTCACGGGACTCAGCTCCTCTCGCACCCTCCCGTAGCCACGCAAGAAGGCCGGCTCCTCCTCTACCAACTCGATCTCCACATCCTCTTCGTCGTCATCCTCTCCGCCCATCACTCCCTGCTCCTCATCAAAGTCTGGGAATTCGGATTTGCTGATGCAGTTGGCAGCCATCATCTGCTTCAGCTCCCACCGCTCCGGAGACGAGATGCGGTTCACACGCTTGTACGTGGCCAAGTCTTCCTCGTCTGTGCCTGTGGGTGGAAAACCAGATGCATTACTCCCTTCTGTCACTTACATCTTCTCCCATTCAAAACTTTTTCACTTAAGTGACAAAAAAAAGGAGATATTCAAGTCATGTTAATACAGCCCATCAAAATACAGATTACTGAAATTTTACAGAAATATTTCCTACAGAACATGAAGAGATGCTGCATAACATGGCTCTAATAAGCATCTGGACCTACCTTTGGTCAGCTCCATGAGTGACATGGGTCTGTCTGGGTTCCTCATGGCATCCTCATCCTGGCTGTTTCCTCCCATGGGTGCAACATTAGGGTTGAGGTCCTCACCCGTGTCCTGGTCAACATCCTTCATGGATAGTGATGTCTTCTGGCCTGTGAAAGACAGGACCTTCACCTGTTGTGTTGGAAAGAAGGGATCAGTTTTCAAGCAGACAGATGCTGATGAGAAAAAAATGTTACAGTTCATTTCATAAAGAATATTTATGTTCTTTTGTCTTTTCTTTGATGGAATCAAGAGCTGACCATTTAACAATGTTTCTAGAACACTTACAGATTTTTAAAAATTGAAAAGAACTCCAATACTAGCAATAGCAACACTTCTAGACTCTTTTGCCTTATTCCAGCAAGGGATATCTCTCACCTTCACTTTCTGCCCCTTCACCACCACATCCGACACATTTGTCACGCGTCCTTCTCGGCGCAGCTGTGAAATGTGGACCAGACCTTCCAGTCTCCTTCGTAGTCCTTCCAGCTGCACAAAGCACCCAAAGTTGAGGATGTTGGTCACTTTACCTTCGTAGACCTATGGGAAATATTAGGAAGCAGAGATTAATGTGAGGGGAGGGGCTGGAATCAGTAGTAATTAATACTGTGGAGGACTGTGAAGAGAAATTACCAGAAAAAAAATTAAAAAACAATATAGGAAACATCAGTTGAGATAGTGTTTGTGAAATAAGAAATTATTCTGATTGGTTTGCAATAAATCTCAAGAAATTTATATTTCAATTGAGTAAATTTTCAAGGAGAAAAAGACAAAATCAAGAAAAGAAATTTGAAGATCAAATCACTTTCCAGAATAAACAAGCATCACATGAAGCATATTAAAGTTTGTGCAGAACAGAAAGCATGAAAATTCACCTTCCCAACAACAGGGTTCTCATCAGGCGGCCTGTTGATGAAGGCCTCACGATTGCTTCCTCTTCCTCTCTCCTGTTCTCGGTCTCTGTCTCTGCTCCGGCTCCTGCTCCTTCTCGAGTGCCTGTCCCTCCCCCTGCTCCTGCTCCTCTCCCTCCTGTCCCTTTCCTTCCTGTCCCTGTGCCTGTCTCGGCTGCGGCTCCGCTCCCTCCTCCCCCTGTACCTTTCCTGGCTCCTTGACCTTCTCCTGTCTCTTTCCCTGTCCCTGTCCCTGTCTCTGTCTCTGTCCCTGTCCCTTTCCCTCTCCCTCTCTCTGTCCCTGCTGCGGCTTCTGCTCCTCCTCCTCTCCCTCTCCCTTTCCCTTGATCTCCTCTTCTTTTCCCTGCTCCTGCTCCTACTCCTGCTCTTGCTCCTACTCCTGCTTCTGCTCTTGCTTCTGGCCTTGGTATTCTGCTTGGAGGGAGCATGCGACTCCAGAAAGGCCATCAGGTCATCCACCTCCAGCGATGGGTCAGGCTTCACCTTCCTATCTTGCTTGTCCTCCTTCTCCCGTTCACGGTCTTTGTCTTTCTTCTTCTTTTTCTTCTTCTCTTTCTCCTTGTTACTGCCATTCTTGAGACAGAGTTCTGCCTGGGGCTCCTCCTTCACCTTGGGCTTGAGCTCATCATCCAGCATGTTGAGTACTTTGGGGTCGTTGGGCAAGGCCAAGAAGGGCAGCATTTCCCGTTTCCAGTCCTTCTCTGTCTTTGGCTTCCCTGGCTCTTCCTTTATCTTTTCTGGCAAAGGACCAGCCGTGAGGGATGGCATCATGTGCTGGATCAACCTCCACAGACTTTCCACAAATGAATCCTGCAAGAGCAACAGAAACATCAAAGTGAGAAAAGGTTGTTCATTCTATATGCAAAGGAAAACAAATTCAACAAGGAAAAACAAGTAGATCAATCAAGAGCTACTCTGAGAATGTATTCACATTCACCAAAAAATTTACTTGAAGTATTTCTTAACTCCTTCATCATATCAGCTTTACTTATTATTTTTATACTTTATAAAAACTTTCTTACTTTTGCATTTACATCCCCTTACATAATATAGTTTAAACTTGATATTCCTGAATCAACAAATATCATTGCATGATGACAATGAAAATGATGATGACACTGAAATGATGATAATGGTAGGGTTAGGGTAGATAATGAGGGTAATGATCATTCTTTAGTTAATGATAATAGTATTGATGATGATGGTGTTAGTATTAATGATGATGAAAGCCACAATGAAATAAATCATCATGACACCTAAATCAATTCAGCAAAATAATGATGACAATATTGTTTTTTTGAAATGAAAATGAAGGTGACATAACCAAACTGCCAGACAGAACCAGCAAGGTTATTAGCAGACAACTCACCGCAAACTGGTCTCCTCCATTTTCCTCAAGCTCCTTTTTGAACTTGTCAAGGCGTTTGCTCTTCTCTGCCAGGGCAATGATGAACTCCGCTGTTGGAATAGACAATGGCCTCATTTATCAACAATAATTGGAATTTGTGGTTCTCTGAACAACAGTCAATAACTGGGCCTGGCAATTCCAATAAAACAGTCATCAAGATTTGAAGTTTCAATATTCAGAGAGAGAGAGAGAGAGAGAGAGAGAGAGAGAGAGAGAGAGAGAGAGAGAGAGAGAGAGAGAGAGAGAGAGAGAGAGAGAGAGAGAATGTGTGTGTGTGTGTGTGTGTGTGTGTGTGTGTGTGTGTGTGTGTGTGTGTGTGTGTGTGTGTGTGTGTGTGTGTGTGTGTGTGTGTGTGTGTCTGAAACTGTAGAAAGAATTCTAACAAGAAATCAAAATCTATTCTAAAATAACTAAAGCAATAAATGTGCTGGTGGTGGGATTTCATCCCTAAGGGAATGCAACATATTCCCTTTTCCTTTACTCCACTATCTTAATCATGGTTATAAATATCATCAAGTGTCTAGGTACATCTTTACAGTACAGCTGCACTCGCCAGAGGCTAAGTCCCCAACTCCACGACACAAAATCTATTCAACAATCTTGAGGTGCCCTTTGGACACTGCCCGGGGGAAGGTTGATGCCCAACACCCCCCCCCAGCAAACACTGTCTTCAGCTAAGTATGCACAACAAGAGCGAAACTCAGAATCACTGAGTGGACTTAGTTTGTGGCATTACTGTTCCTATCTGCAGATTACTTCTTGTACTGATGATTGCAACCTTTTGTCCTCTACAAGAATATGGTCTTCAATTAGTGCATCCATGCTGTAAATCACCAATGTCAGCAATGTGATGCTTGGGGCAAGATTTACCTAGCACAGAACAAAAGTACGAGAGGACAAATACATAACAGACGCATAAAATAAAGAAAATCCTAGCAATCCACTGCCAACACATGGATGTGACAAGTGCTCCTTGACTCGTTATTATCCCAAGTGTACTTTAGAATTCAGACGGTATAGTTACTTTTCGACAATCAATTGGGAAGAGAAAAATGTAAAAGCAACAATTCTAAAGAGAAAATAACAAATAATTAATACAAAATGAGACGTAGAAGTGCACTTCTCTCGCACTCACCAACATCTTTATCGTTGATTCCTAAGTGATTCTCCAACTCCACGCATATCTTGGAGACCAAAGAAAGCCTCTCGAGTCTGAAAACATCTTCCATTGTGAATTTAGGAAGCTCGAAAACAACCGAATGCGCGGAGGAAGGCCGTGGTGCTTCCAGTCTCTAAAAAAACAAAACAATGTCAACAATCGTTTTGGTGGGAAACGAGACTATTCCTTTAGACTCCACAAGCCTAAAATATTATGACTATTTATACCTAGATCTATGCATACACATAGGCATATAATATGTTTATGATTACATATGTGATAGATCATTAACATGTTCACATTTATATTTTTTGAAACAGGTATAGATCTTTATTTTCGTTTCGTTAGTTGATATAGGCCGCCTGCAAACCTATGATACTGTTATCCTTTTCATATCCAAAAGTATTTTCACTTCTCTATAATATTTTGTATCATGTTATATGTATTTGGGAAATACACCGGCCTTTACAAGGGATCTCTTAATTTTACCTGTGATTTATACGCTGGATCCCTTCAGTCCCCAGTGTTTGTTTACATGTGAGGAGCGAGAAGGTCCACGTGAGGCCCGGGTCGACTGGCCCTGTTCCTTCGTAACGGAGAAAGTCCCTGTAACAGTCTCAAATCCTTGACGGAAATTAAAGTATATGGACAAAGAAAACACTTAAACGATAACAAATTAAGGAAGAGGCGTTCACATCATGGACTCGAAGAGATCGGTCGAATTGTCTCTCAGACACCTTAAAGATCTAGAATTCGGTAAAATACCCGAAAAACAGAATGAGGTAAGGTGTATGGATAAATCCGAAGAGATATTTGTGGCTCGATGATAAATTATATTTTCAATTTTGTAATTGTTCACGGGAGGACTATGGGTGCGAAGTATGGTGGCATATCATTGCTAGACAGTGCCAAGTGTGCACAGAGAGATCATTGGATTTTAATATTCAGTTGATAATATTTTACTTCTAGTGGTATTATTGTATGTCTTCTTTTTGACCATTTTTTCACTACACATTAGATAGACAGAGCTTGTAGTTCCCCCTGGCATTTAATCATCAAATGAGGAAGTTGTCCAAGCTCAGTCCTTCCAGAATGTGTGAAGTTTGTCATTCTTCATCAAAACACATAACATAGAAGCCATAACAATTACATAACAGACTAGGCCAAAGACTGCAGGTCCTCTATCTTGGATCACAACAACCAGCAAGTTTATTTTAAGAGAACAAAGCTAATATGATATTAAGAAAAAAAATCTCATTTTGGGAACCATTGCAGATGTCTTCAAAACCTTTATTGCAACTTATTCTTTATCATGTATTTGTTTTACAATGCAGTACTCACTCAGCATTTTCATTCTAATATTTTCCAGGGACCTTGCAAATTTTCCACCTCCATATTTTTAATAAAAGACATAAAACTGTTTTAAAAGGCACTTGATGGGCAAAGATTTTATATATTTTGATTTTGTACTTACAGGCCATTATTGCTTTGGCGGCACCTCACGTGGAGTCCTTCAATTTCTTTCTTGGAGAAGGACTCAGGGCTCTCATCAACAATCTTCCCCCACTTGAGTTTAGCCTCCCCAATGATCAAAGAATATCACTAAGAATCAGTGTAAGTATCTTGTTTATATTTTTGTATAATATTTTTAGATATGTGGTTATTGATTTTACTGGAATTTGATTATCTTGAAGACTTACATGATAGCATAGCAAATATTTAATATGTATTTTATTCTAATAAATGATTACTACTAAAGATTTCAAAGAAAAAATTAATTTTCATTTTTTTCCCATCTCTTTTTAAGTATGTCATTGTTGTTATTACTGCATATTTATGTATACATTCACAAAATTTTCACCTCAGGATGTCATCATTGGAAAGCCAAGACTACCAGCTGGAGCAGGAGAAGCAGATGACCTCAATATCTACCCTAAAGAATGTATTGAGCGTGCTTGTACATATTCCGCACCTGCCACGTGCATAATGGACTGGAGTCTCAATAATCAAGAAATGATGTGCATTAGGCAGCCACTTGGGGATATCCCTATTATGGTGATGGTGAGTTTCTAGTCAGGTGATTTGTCTGTATGAGTTGAAAAACTTCCCCCTCCGTCCCTCTCTCTCTCTTACTCTTTCTCCCTTTCCTCTCCCTTTCCTCTCCCTTTCCTCTCCCTTTCCTCTCCCTTTCCTCTCCCTTTCCTCTCCCTTTCCTCTCCCTTTCCTCTCCCCTTCCTCTCCCTTTCCTCTCCCTTTCCTCTCCCTTTCCTCTCCCTTTCCTCTCCCTTTCCTCTCCCTTTCCTCTCCCTTTCCTCTCTCTCTCCTCTCTCTCTCCTCTCTCTCTCTCTCTCTCTCTCTCTCTCTCTCTCTCTCTCTCTCTCTCTCTCTCTCTCTCTCTCTCTCTCTCTCTCTCTCTCTCTCTCCCTCCCTCCCTCTCTCTCCCTCTCTCTCCCTCTCTCTCCCTCCCTCTCTCTCCCTCTCTCTCTCTCTCTCTCTCTCTCTCTCTCTCTCTCTCTCTCTCTCTCTCTCTCTCTCTCTCTCTCTCTCTCTCTCTCTCTCTCTCTCTCTCTCTCTCTCTCTCTCTCCCTCTCCCTCTCCCTCTCCCTCTCCCTCTCTCATAGCTGTTTACAAAGAGAATGTGCACAGTATTTGTCTGTGAGAAAAAAACAAACTAACCAAGCCTCTTCATCTCTTCCCTGGAAACCCCCTCCAGTCAAAGAATTGCAACCTGTACAAAATGACCCCCAAGGAGCTTGTTGCCCATGGAGAGCTGGTCAATGAGACGGGTGGATTCTTCATTGTGAATGGTGCTGCTAGAATATTAAGGTAAGCTTGCATATAGACCCTTCTTGGCTGCATAGGGAAACTTGTGTGTTGGTTTGCATACCTACTGAGGATGTTTATTCTATGACATATTGACATAGTTTCATTCTGATGTGTATATATACCTTCTAGTTTTGAAAACACACCTAATTCATTGGCTTCCTTGCTCATGTATTTATATGGTCACTCATTAAAATTCTTATGGATTTTTTGGCTCAGTAAGTCTCCCTCAATCATATTGGTATTATTATCAATGTTATTATTCTCCTCTCCATTGTTATAGTTGGTATTATTATTGTTATCAGTATTATCATCGCTATACTTACCAAAGTTCCAATCTTTATGAATTATGATTTAAACATTACTCCACTCTTTTTCTTTCTCTCCCATTAGGCTGTTGTCAGCAAATCGTAGAAACTACCCAGTCGCAATGTCCAGAGAGTCATGGAGGAAGAGAAATGATTTCTTTACTGAAAAGGGTATCCTCATTAGATGTGTGCAGGAAGATGAGGTATGGGGTACCTGAGGAGTCAGTTTATTTGAGTTAATAGTGTGTGTGTGTGTGTGTGTGTGTGTGTGTGTGTGTGTGTGTGTGTGTGTGTGTGTGTGTGTATGTGTGTGTGTGAAGTGTGTGTGTGTGTGTGTGTGTGTGTGTGTATGTGTGTGTGTGTGTGAAGTGTGAAGTGTGTAGTGTGTGTATGTGTCTGTGTGAAGTGTGTGTGTGTGTGTGTGTGTGTGTGTGTGTGTGTGTGTGTGTGTGTGTGTGTGTGTGTGTGTGTGTGTGCATGCACGCATGTTTGTGCATATATGCACACACATGTATCTGTCTGTCCCTCTGTCAGCCAATCTGTGTCATATACAGAGACCAAGTACCATTCAGACTCTGATTGGTAACCAGAATTTCGAT